TCAAAAAATTTTACATAAATATAGTTAACTAATCTGAGAGTTTTTTATCCTCCTATTCGGCTTTGTTTACTTTTACTTGAGAAATTTCGTGGACGTCGGGAATGCGCAATTTTGTGGTCTATCATTCTCGATATACGCAGATATATGTATATGGTTGCCAGATTCTGAAACGGAGAAAGGAGTACATTTCTATTTTGAATAGAAAAAAAGCAGTACAAAAGATAAAAAAGGAGTACAATTTATTTTTTTAATTTTTTGTGCAATTTATTGTTAATTAGGTACAAACAAGCAAATATATCTTAGAAATCTTTTTCAAAGCAATAATAAATGTTAAAAATAAATAGCTAAATTCTACAAAAGAATTCCAGACTCTTCCTGAATGTGTGGTCACTTTTATAATTTAAGCCTTATTTTTATATCCGAGCGCCCTGCACCCACCTGGCTACGACCATGCATACACCTTTTCACTATCACACTTATTTTTGCTTACTAATAGCGCTCTTACACGATATGTATCTTCATATGTAAATGCTACTTTTCTGATACGTTCCAATCATGGTGCAATAAAAACAAGGTGTTGTCAGTAGCGACGTGTTTGTTGTAATTTTGACAAGATCGGCATGCTTATTTTCAGTGCTGCCGATCTTAATTTTTATACTACTATTTGTTGGGAAATAGTAACTAAAATAATCCATTTTACTAGTTCGTTTTATGGAGATTTTTAAATAACTTGGTGTTTTCAGAACGCTATTAATATCTAAAATTGCTGGATATGTATCATTTTTGTCCTCAAAATGTAAAAAAAATAAAAGATATCGTGGTTATCAATGGAAAAGACATACAAAACAAGTCCGAAAGTCTAAGTTCGGGCGAGCCGAACATTAAATACCCGGCGCAAGTATNACTAAAATAATCCATTTTACTAGTTCGTTTTATGGAGATTTTTAAATAACTTGGTGTTTTCAGAACGCTATTAATATCTAAAATTGCTGGATATGTATCATTTTTGTCCTCAAAATGTAAAAAAAATAAAAGATATCGTGGTTATCAATGGAAAAGACATACAAAACAAGTCCGAAAGTCTAAGTTCGGGCGAGCCGAACATTAAATACCCGGCGCAAGTATTAAATATATGTTTTCCACCTTTCCGAAAACTACCACTACATTATCAGCCGGGTGCTTTTACCCCTGTTTTAAACATCGTCGATAGAACGTTCAGTTAGACATAATGAATTAAACTTATATAGTCCTATGTGGGGGGTATCACGCCCATTTCCAAAATTCCAAACAATGTTACTTCTTTTCAAGAGATTGTTTTTAGTATCAATTACACTGTGTGACAAATGGTAGGGGTCAGTGATCGGGAAGGGTTCAAACTACCGGGGAAACTTATATCGGTAAAAAAGAAGTTATACGTGTCCCGGCGTTTCGCTGGGTCACGTCTAGGAATCGAGATATAAATATAACTATCATATAGGGGAAATTGTCACCTTTGGTGGTCTTTTTTTTGACATAACCCGAGAACCACTAGTCCGATTTTGCTCAAACAAATTTAAAAAAATTAAAAATTACAATTCCTTTAATCTGTTTATATAACGTTTTTCTATATAAGCAACAGTTTTAAAAAAAATTAATATTTTGGGCAAAAAATATTTTTTTTCTTCATACATTTATTTTTGATTATATAGAAAAACGTTATATGAACAGATTAAAGGAATTGTAATTTTTAATTTTTTTAAATTTGTTTGAGCAAAATCGGACTAGTGGTTCTCGAGTTATGTCAAAAAAAGACCACCAAAGGTGACAATTTCCCCTATATGATAGTTATATATATATCTCGATTCCTAGACGTGACCCAGCGAAACGCCGGGACACGTATAACTTGTTTTTGACCGATATAACATTTCCCGTTGGTTTCATCCCATCCCGATTTTGACTGTCGCATAGTGTTATGAGTAAATTAGTGTCCTTAAATTTCGAAATATTGAAGTTTCAAGCATTTCTGAAATTTACCGTGATATGAAAAGCGGTCGTAATTTTAGTCCGATTTCAATAATTTTCAACGTTTTGCTTTTATGTGGAAAGCACAATAACCATAACGAGTTTGGTACAAATTGGTACAACGGTTACCGAGATACATATATCTGATCATAAGTGGGCAGTTCCACGCCCATTTTCCAAAATCTTACCATAAATGTATTTCTCGGTAAAGAATTGTTGCAAGCATCAATTTTGAATGAATTAGCTTTAATATATCGAGTATTTCGTATTTCTCTAAATTATCGTTATATGGGATGTGGGCGTGGTCCTTTGGTATGTTGTACCAAGGCCAACAACTGTGCCAAGTTTGGAAGAAATCGGTGAAGCGGATACCAAGATATACACATGTAGCCACAATAATATATAATAATAATATTAATATTCTTATTTCTCGTCTAAATATTATTGTAAATATCAATCTTGAGTGAATAATCTTCAGTAGTTACTAAAANCTTTGGTATGTTGTACCAAGGCCAACAACTGTGCCAAGTTTGGAAGAAATCGGTGCAGCGGTTACCAAGATATACACATGTAACCATAAGTGGGCGTGGCTACGCCCATTTTCCAAAAATTTATAATATTCTTATTTTTCGTCTAAAAGTTATTGTAAATATCAATTTTGAGTGAATTATCTTCAGTAGTTACTAAAATATCGCAGTTTTCGTATTTCTGGAAATTACCGTTATATGGGAAGTGGGCGTGGTTAAAGTCCGATTTCGCCCATTTTCAATACCAACCTACCTTGGATTAAGGGAAACCTACATACCAAATTTCGTTGAGATATCTCAATTTTTGCTCGAGTTATCGTGTACACGGACAGACGGACAGACGGACAGACGGACAGACGGACGGACAGACAGACATGGCTTAATCGATTTCTTTTTTCATCCTGATCATTTATGTATACATTTGTCTATATCTATCTCAGTTCGTTTTGTCTGTTACAAACAACCGTTATGTGAAAAAATTTATAATATCCTTGTGCACAAGTGCGCTCGGGTATAAAAATCGTATGGAAGGCGATTTTTATACCCGAGCGCACTTGTGCACAAGGGTATATTAATTTTGTTCACATAACGGTTGTTTGTAACAGCCAAAACGAATCGAGATAGATATAGACAAATGTATACATAAATGATCAGGATGAAAAAAGAAATCGATTAAGCCATGTCTGTCTGTCCGTCCGTCTGTCCGTCTGTCCGT